ATCTGCCAGTCATACCTCAGTAAAGCCAGAAAAAATAAAATGAATAAAATAAAATAACCCACAAAAAAAGAGAGATGGACATTACATATTGATAAGATAGTCAATTCATCAAGAACATGCAGCAGTTATAAACAGAGTGCCCCAAAATATAGGAAGTAAAAACTAACAGAACTGAAGGAAAAAATACACAGTCCTACAGTAATTGGAGATTTCAGTAACCCATTTTCAATTATGAATAGAACACCTAGGCAGACGATCAATACAGAAATGGAGGATTTCATAACACTGTAAACCAACTAGATGTAATACACTTGTATGGAACACTCTACCCAAAAATAGAAGAGTAACAGGTTCTTCTCATGAGCACACAGGACATCCTCCAGTATAGACCATATGTTAGGTGGCAAAACAAGTCTCAATAAGTTTAAAAGATTGTAATCATATAAAGGATCTTCTCTGACTTCAGTGGAATGAAACTAGAAATCAATAACTGAAGGAAAACTATAAATTCATAAATTTGTGAAATTGAGCAACACTCTTAAACAACTAATGAATTAAATAAAAAATCACAAGGGAAATTTAAAAAATACTTTGAGATAAAATGAAAAACAGCATACCAAAACTTTTAGGATGCAATAAAGCAGTATTTGGAGGAAAATTTATAGCTATAAATATATTATAAAAGGAGTAATATGTCAGTTCAATATTCTTTACACCTTAAAGAATCAGAAAATGAAGAGCAATCTAATCCCAAAGTTAGCAGCAGTAAATAGTTATGATTGGAGCAGAGATAAAACCAAATAAGGAATAGAAAACAGTAGAAATAATCAATAAGACCAAAATTGGGACTTTGAAAAGATTGACAAAATTAAGAAACTTTTAGCTAGACTGAACAAAGAGAGGACACAAATTACTGATATCAGAAATGAAAGTGGGACATTACTACAGACCTTACAGAAACAGAAATAATTATAATAGTATGAAGGATTGTGTGTCAATACATTAGAAACCTAGATAAAAAGGAAAAATTCCTAGAAATACACAAATTACCAAAAATGACTCAAGAAGAAATAAAAAAATTTTTGAATATACCTAAAATAAGTAAAGAGATTTATTAATCAAAAACCAATCAACAGAGAAAAGCTCAGGACCAAATGGTTTCACAGGTAAATTCAGTCAGAAGAATAATTAACATGAGTCCTTCTCAAAATCTTCCAAAAAACAAAGAGAGAGAGAGAGAGAAGTGAGGAACACATTCTCTAACCAGTGAAAGTAGGCAAGGGAAAAAAAGGCATCCAAACTGGATAGAAAAAAGTAAAATTATCTCTGTTCACAGATAGTATGATCTTATATGTCAAAAAACCCTAAAGGTCCTCCCAAAAAACCTGTTAGAAGTAATAAATTAATTCAGCAAAATTGCAGGATACAAAATCAACACACAGCAATCAGTTGCATTTCTATATACAAACAATGAATAATCAGAAAAATTAAAACAATTACATTTACTATCATGAAAAAAATAAAATACTTAGGAATAAATTTCATCAAGAAGGTGAAAATCTCAGTACACTGCAAACTAAAAACTGTTGCTAAAAGCAATTAGATACAAATAAATGGAAAGACAGCTCATGTTCATGGATTGGAAAAATTAATATTGTTAAGAATGTCATCACTCCCCAAAGTAGTCTACAGATTTGATGCAGTCTCTATCAAAATCCCAATGATATTTTTGCATAAATAGAAAATTCCATCTTAAAAATCATATGAAATCTCAAGGGACCCCAAATAGCTAAAATAATCTTGAAAAAGAACAAAGTTGCAGGTCTCACTTACTCATTTCTAAACTTACTACAAAGCTACATTAATCAAAACAGTGTGGTACAGTTACAAAGACTAATGGAATAGAAGTAAGAGCCTACTAATAAACCCTCACATATATGGTCAGGTGATTTTTGAAAAGGGTATCAAGACCATTCAATGGGGAAAAGATGGTCTTTTCAACAAATGGTACTGGGAAAACTGGACATGCACATGCAAAATAATGAAGTTGGACCCTTACACCATATACAAAAATTAGCTCGAATGGAAAGCTACAGAACCTTTAGAAAAAAATATGGGGGGGTGGTGCCTGGGTGGCTCAGTTGGTTAAGCATCTGCCTTTGGCTCAGGTCATGATCTCAGGGTCTTGGGATTGAGCCCTGCATTGGACTCCCTGCTCAGCAGGTAGTCTGCTTCTCCCTCTCCTTCTGCTCCTCCAACATTCGTGCTTTCTCACACATGTGCTCTCTCACTCTCTCTCAATCTCAAGTAAATAAATAAATAAATAATCTTTAGGAAAAAACATAGGGAGTAAGTTTCATGACATTGGATATGGCAATGATTTCTTGGACATGACATCAAAAGCAAAGGAAACAAAAGTAAAGGTAAACTGGACTACATTAAAATTTAAACTTCTGGACATCAAGCCACAACCAACAGAGTGAAAAGGTAACCTAAGGAATGGGAGAAAATGTTCACAAATTATATACTCAATAAATGTCAAGTATCCAGAATATATAAAGATTCTTACAACTCAACAACAAAACGACAAACAACCCAGCTAATAAATGGGCAAATGATTTGACTAGACATTTTTCTAAAGAATATATGTGAATGGCCAACAAACACATGAAAAGATGATTGACATCATTAGTCAATAGAGAAATGTAAATCAAGACTACAGTGAGATACCTCTTCACACCCACTAAAAAGTCCAAGATATAAATACATACATACGTACATATATATGTACATACATACAGAAAAGAGAGAGAGAAGGAAGGAAGGGAGGGAAGGAGGGAGAGAACAAGTGTTAATGTGGATGTGGGAAATTCTGAATCCTCATATATTGCTACTGGGAATGTAAAACGGTACAGCTGGTGTGGAAGACAGTTTTTCAGTTTCTCATAAAGTTAAACATAAAATTATCTTGTGATCCAGCAATTCTATTCCTAGGTATATACTCAAATTGAAAATAGGTGTTCAAAAGTTATACACAGTTGTTCATAGAGCACTAGTCACTATGGCCAAAAGGTGGAAATGGAATATCCATCAACAGATGAATGGATAAACCAAGGGTGGTATGTCCATAAATGGAATATTATCCAGGTATAACAAGGAGTGCATTACTGATACATGCCACAGCCTGGATGAACCTTGAAAACATTACGCTAATTGAAAGACACAAGACACCAAAGACCACATATTGTTTGATACCATTTGTAGGCAATATACAGAAAGGAAGGAAATCTAATGAGACAGGAAGTAGATTAATGGTTGCCAGGATCTGGGGATGGGGGAAATAAGGAATTATAGCTTAATGCATATGGGGTTTCCTTTTGAGGTGATGAAAATATTCTGGAAGTAGATAGTGGTGATGGCTGCCCAACACTGTGAATGGACTAAATGCCACTGTGTACACTATGAAATGTGCACTTTAAAATGGAATTTTATGTTATGTGAATTTTAGCTCAATAGAAATAATTGTCCCCTCCACCCTATTTAGGAAGCTTATAGGCCAATAGAAAGGCTGAATGGTTGGGAATTTTGTAGGCCTAAATTTACTGGGTGGAATGATGGTAAGATTTAGATAAGAACCGCAAATGTCTAACACTTAAGACCACATCTTCATCATTTTTTAATTGGTAAAAAGAAAAGGTGAGTCTTTGGGGACTATTTGACAGCCATGATATTCATTTCTCTAATACCAAATACATCCCAATCTATCACCCATTGCCCACCCAAAATGTGTTTACTGGTTCATTGCATTCTAATCCTCAGAAAGGCTTGGTTAGTGCCAGAAATAGGGCATCCAAACATGACATCTTATTCCAATCCAAAACTTACTTGTTGAATAGCCACAAGGTTTTCATCACATACTAGCAGTAACAACCTTGCCTCTGCCTTTCAAGCAGGTGCAGTATGCCACACAAAAGTTATATTCCCCAGGACAGCCCCCAAATTAGAGGGCTGTTCCAAGTGCTACTTTTAATTATCAAAATTAAAAGGAATTGGTTAAAACTTTATACTACAAACTAGAATAGTTAAAATTTAAAATGATAGTATAAAATATTTTTAAATGATTTAAGAAATTAGACTTGTAAAAGAAACTTTTAATTACTTATTATACAGTACTTTTACACCAATCTTATGAAGTAGGTATTATTTCCTCTATTTTACAGATGAAGAAACTTGGGTTGAGAGTGTCCGATTTTCCAAGTGATTTTTTAACTATTAAGTGGAAGAGATGAGGTTTAAACCCCCAAAATCTGATCACAGATCCTTCTCTTTTTCACTTCTGCCTACCTTTTGGCCCAGACAGAAGAAAGCTTTCAAGTCTATGTTACTTTGGAAAATTGTTGACATATCTTTTGCAAGATTAGCAAAGTGTGGTGCCAACATTGGCAATAAGCTTCATACCAGACTAAAAATTTCTGCAATAGTAAGAATACCCAAATTTCTACTCATTTGCGAGATTAGAATATAGTGTCACAAGCAGTCTCATCCAGCTTCTCTAAGAGTGTAACCTATGAAAAATACCTACAACTTAATAACAATCATAGTTAATCATCAGCAGGGTCCTGGGAGCAAGGTATCATACATCTGTATGTAACATCATATTATGGTATAATGGAGTGGAAAGGGCACAAGTCTTGGAATCAGGTGAACTGGGTTTGGAGCTTAGTTTTGCTACATACTAGTTAGTATAACCATGGACAAAGTACTTAATCTTGCTAAGTTTTCTTTATTTATAAAACAATACTACTTATCACATGGACTTATGAAGATTGAGATAAAAGCCAGATAAAATAATTAAGATAATTATGCTGAGAAAGTTATAAACCAAATTGGTACCTAGACTTCAAGGGTAGATAACAAATATTTTCACCTAAATAGTTATTGTTGTTTTTAACATTTTCTGTGAACCTTGGAAAATAAAGTCTCGCCTCTTCTGCTTCTAGTTCCACTTGTCCTATTCAGACAAGGAACGCTATGAAAATGAAGAGAGACCTGAGGTCCAGAAGCAGATGCTCATCGATATGGCCAAAAAGCTACCAGTTTACACAAGAACTGGGAGTGGAGGTCAGTTCATCCAAAGTCACCTAGAGAAGCGGCAAGTCACCTTTTGAGATCGGCAAGGACCTCAAAAAGGCTAAGTCATATATATCTACAGGCTCATCTGTATACCTAGCACTGGAGTCTACCACTAACATTTTGCTATGTTACTTTATCATATATCTGTCCGCAAATCCATCCCTCACCCATCATCCATCAAGTCATCTTATTTTTTCATACATTTCAAACTAAGTAGCAAATATCAGTACACATCTACCTAAATATTTTATCATTCTTTTTTGAGTGAAATTTGCATACAAAGACACACACAAATCTTAAGTGTGCCATTCAGTGTTTTTTTTATTTTTTATTGTTATGTTAATCACCATACATTACATCATTAGTTCTTGATGTAGTGTCCCATGATTCATTCTTTGTGCATAATACCCAGTGCTCCACGCAGAATGTGCCCTCTTTAATACCCATCACCAGGCTAACCCATCCCCCCACCCTCCTCCCCTCTAGAACCCTCAGTTTGTT